GGCAGTTCAAAACCACCAGCGGCTCTTTGGGAGAAAGACTAGGCTTTCTTCTATAGACAGAAGACTGTGAGTCAGCTCTGACTCGATGGCAGTGAGAGTTTGATTTGGTTTTTTTTCTATGGTTAGTGATGTCACAACCATACCCCTAACTTTTAGCGACCCCAGAGTACAAGGTGGAACTGCCCCTGTGAGGTGCCAAGAGTGCAACCCTATGACAGTAGAAAGCCCGGTCTGTCTCCCACAGATTAGCTAGTGGTTTTGAACTGCTGACCTTGCGGTTAGCAGTCCAACAAGTAACCACTATGCCACCAGGGCTGCTCACCATTATACCTGCTCACTTATCGAACATTTTGCATGTATGACCATAGTGAAAAACTGACTATTTGACAACTCTTCCCAGTAGTTGTGAACCTGGCAGTAACGAACCCTCAGATGTCAGGTGAGAGTGAGTGACCGTGGCTGAGGTGGTTAAGGTTAGGGGTCAAGATGGCGAGGCTATGGCTCTCAATCGTTTCAAAATTATGTAATGATGGGACTTGAACCTCCCATTTTGCAACCCGATGTGGTCAACCTCCAAGGTGGCATTGTACTGATTTTCTCTGAACAACCTGGTCCCTGGAACTGAACCATGTCACTAAGTGAGGGGTGGATGGGCTATACACACACCCCACGCTTGTTTCACTTTTCTGTGAAGCACAAAACTGTCTGTCATGACTTCACCTTCCGTCTTGTCTCACATGAACTTGTTTCTCTCATGAAAGTTTAAATATGCATCAGAAACAATACTCCCATCTGGCCCATGGGGTGGGAATGCTTTTTGTTCAAACCAGTGTGGAAACGTGATTGTGGAATGAAGAAGAAAAAGGAAACAATCCAATCGGATGGTTTCATGGGTCCTGGAACGGTGAGCATTATCCGGCCCCGCACTTTCACATGTGGTGATGAATGGGGGGCTCCCTACACCCGTGTTGGTAAAAAGCCATGAAAAAGGCTAGTGACAAAGGCAAGCCCACACTTGGGTTTCTGAACCACCAAGCCAGCCTCCTTTCACCCCCACCCATAGAGAAGAGGGTCACTCTCATTTGTAATGTGCCTAAATCAGCTGATTGGCGTGAGGCTCATCTGTAGCCTGCTCACTCGTTCCATGCATGCTCAGGTGAATCGCGACCATCCAACAAGACCAGTGCAGGCTAGTGCACAAGATCCCAAACTTTCACTGCCATCCAGTCCGTTCCGACTCATATTGACCCTTCAGGACAGGGCAGAATAGCCCCGGTGGGTTTCTGAGACTATAACTCTCTGCTACAGCCTTGTCTTTCTCCTGAGGAGAGACCGGTGGTTCCGAACTGCAGACCTTGAGGTTAGCAGCCCAATGCACAACCACCATGCCATTTCCGGAAAGTAAGTGGGCCGTAGCTCTATTTGCACTAAGAATGAATGTTGTCAATAAACAAAAAGAAAAGGAAAAGAATGAACATTGCCCTCTCCTATTTTCAATTACTGGATTTAGCTTGGTTTTTGCTTTTGTTTTTTAATTTTCTTTTTCTTAAATAGGAGAAACTTAGGACTTGGGGAGTCCATTCTTTAGCCT